GGGGCACGGGCCGCGCAGGTGATCCTTTCTTCGCCATGGCAAGCCCAACCCCTCCTGTGGCCAGGCATCGGTATGAACACTCCTCACTGAAGGGGCATTGAACGAAAGCTTTATTTAGCCCATTAGCACCCGCAATACTTGTGTGCAGAAGTCTATTCACTAGTCAACAGAGAATATAGGATTTAATAAAAATAACTGCTCTTCATTGATAATTGCTTTGCTTAGAAATATTTAGGCCAACACGGTTGACGAAGCTACACTCCTCTTGATATTATTTACCAGAATCATGAAATACAATTGAATACCCTTAGATATTTATAAGCAAGATATTATAGTATGGTACAATGTAGTAATTGTTAAAAGATTAAATACATTTAACTGTCCAACTATTCTCTGGGCCAAAGAAATATTCCGCGAAGAAACATTTGTATATATAAAAATAAAATGTCACCGAAAAAAAATCTTATTTTTTTTACTTGTCAACTCAGTTGAAAATACATTGAAATCTACTTAACAGATCCTCTCCCGGTTCTTGGTTTATTACGAACACCAGAGAAGGGGAGAGATTACATACAGGCCACTTACTCGCTCGTACTACGGAATATTCTGTCGTTAGTACTGCCCTCCCACTTCAACGTCATTCCCTCGCTCTCTCGCCAGGCTGGGGAGTGCAGAATCCACGTTTAACAGCTGGCAACGCGAATCGACCAGCACCCGATTATCCGATTGCCGCTGCATATGGAGGGATTGCCCCCCCCCCTTTTTTTTTTTTTTTTTTTTTTGTAATCTCTGAATTGCTTTAGAATGCTTGTTTTAGTTTCTGGTATGCTTTTGAAGGTTTACGAGGGGAGAGTGTGCTTAGATGTATACGAGCGCAAATATGGAGATTATTATTAATGGACATCACATTTCCACTTGGCTTTTGATTTACACATTGTTCGGTTTTAATAGACTATGCGATCAGGTTCCAAGGTATAAAATTATGCTGTGAATGTAAGGCAATGTGATGCATTAGAACTTTATCAAATATCAATGAATAATTTTAGTGGATCGGTTTCCTTTTTGAATTGACCTAATGTTAAACTAGGCTGCCTTTACTGTCTACATCACAAATGCTGAACAGTAAGTTACAGTGCAATAGAAAAATAACTCTCGTTGTTTCAGTTCAGATTACGAACTAGACTTCCCACACATTTCAGTACACGTGCTATTCGAGGTAAAGAAAAGTTATCCGCTTGGGAAATTGGATTACTAAGATATTAAAAGAAATGGCGAAAACTACTCGCAGCGAGGAGCGCGATGGTGGCGATGGCGGTGCAAGTTATACCGATCGAACGGTTCGAGTGGGTAGCGGCTCTAAAAGGCTCAACCCGCTTACCGAAATGAAATTCTACTGAACCGTAAATGAGACTAAAGCGAAGGAAATGCCAATCCAATATCGCCGGTGCGAAGTCGCAAGGCCGCTGGATGGAACTGGAAACAGAAGCAACGAGTTCACTCACTGGAAAAGATGCTTACATAAAATGGTAGAAATTTGTTACATTTTGAGTTTTCTTCGTTCAATACGCCTGCACCATTGTGAGACGGTGGAAGACTTTGGATTTCTCATAGTTCAATTTATATTGAAACGACCGTGGGTGGGTGGGTGCGGGGATGCGAATATTAATGTTCCAGTAAAACCAAAACTCTGGGAGAAGTCGTTGAACTCAATACCAAGAAATCGCGGGGGGGGGGGACGAGGAATGGCGGCGAGGGATGGTGGCGGAGAGGGCCAGAATAGTGCGGACGAGGGCAGGACGAGTCTGCGGGGTGAAGCTGATAGTTGTCGGGGAGAGCGAGGGTGCGGGTGAGGGTGAGGGTGTTTGTGAGGAAGGGGAGGTTGGAGGGGTGAGTGAGAGTGGTGGGGCGGTGTGGATTCACGCGGGGCCGGGGACCAGGCAGGCGGCGAGCGATCGCACCCACGCTCTTCGCGGCGCCGCCCGCTCCTGCCGCCGATCGATGAGATCTCCATTCGCCCGGCAGCCAGACAAATATTTCAGAGGTCGGCGGGACACCGCGTTGCCTGCGCTTCTGCCGTCGCCGGCGCGGACGGGTCGCACGGCAATGGGGCTTTTCAGCTTCGGTTCGCGCCAGCAGTCAATGAACCGTCAATCAATACGCAAATGAGCTTCCGTAACATTCTAGCGCACTGGTGACATTACCGAGATTCGAGACTTGAATTTAAGCGAATGGATTCATTTTAAAATGCGGCAGGCGAGTGATGGTTCCCCATACTCTGTAATTAACGAAATATAAAATGCTTGAACTCAAACGCTGCGTGAAATAAGATAAAATAATTATTAGGAAAGATTTATCGTAAGAAAAGCACAGGATTAAGATTATAATTGTCCGTGTACATAACTCAAGTTGACATCGCAATATTACTATAATTCTTTTCTAAATCCTAATTTATTTGATGGACATTCTTACTCTAATATCAGTCCTAGGCACATTCTGAACACGAAATCTGAACAGCTCTGCATGAGTGTTCATGAATGTGGTTACAAAAATTACTAATACGAAATTATCATCAGTCTTCAAAACATTTTATCGGTTGGTATTAAATTTATTCTCACCTATTTCATCGCCGATCCCAGAACACCGGTCAATTCTTGAACAATCAATTTCATTGCAGTAAATTTCAAAATTATATCTTTACATGCGCGATTTGTGTTTCAGTACGAGAGTCTAAAAACAAAAACAAAACAAGAGTATGTTTCAGAATAAGCTCGAGTGTGAGGGAGGGAGAGTACAAGGTAGTTTGTATAGAAGCTGAGATGAGTGTTCATGTACGGGGTGAGTGACAGCGCAAATGTGTGTGTGTGTGGGTGTGAAAGAGACGGAATGCGTATGGGCGAGTGGCAATCTGCGTGCGGGGAAGGTGCGAGTGGGAGAGCGATTGTGGGTGCGAGCGGGTGCGTGGCGGGTGCGTGGCGGGTGCGGGGTGCGCGCGGGGTAGAGCCGGCACGTGGGCTGAGGGAGGTCGGCCGGTCCAGTCCGTGGCCGGGTGCCGGGTGCCGCGACCACTAGGCGCTAGACGCTGGGCGCTGGGCGCTGGGCGCTGGGCGCTGGGCGCTGGCCGGCAACCGACACCTTGCGGCTGGCACTCGCATTGCCGGCTGAGGGAAGCGGGAGGGCGCTAGTCTGAACACGGACGGGGGGGTGGAGATGGCACGGGAGGGGAGCGACGGGTTCGGCTAGGAAACAGTAGGGTCGGAATAGAACAGGTGCACAGGGCCCCCCCTCGTAGTTCGCGCACCGCCAGGTTAAATTGCGGAAGTTCTCAAGGCTTACGTAATGTCTGACCTACTCGCTAAATTTGTTTGATAGCGCACGCACTTCTTACACCTAGTGAAATAAACAACGCGTCGACACAAAATTAGACACGTATCTGTCAAGTCACTCAGCGAACACAAACTATAAATGCTAAGAAAATAAAATCGACTGTGCCGCACCATTGGAAAATTTGCAATGATATTACGTATGTCAATATGATAGTTCGTCGCACACATGAAATAATGTAGCACATATTCACAAAAAGTACAATTGAAATAAATTGTTGTACTCTTAAAAGTATACGAAATCAAAATATTGGAATTACCATTATCCTTTTTAATTTGCTCACAAATTTCGGAGAAAATTTCCGTGGTAACGTAACAAATACAGCGTGCATGCAAGCCACAGAAAAATTAGATAAATCAAAGGAACATTAAAAATTGTATATATATTACTCACCAATAGGAAGCACTCTCCAGCGGGTCTTTCGTTTATTACCCTTCTTGCCCATGAAGATGTCTCCCTTGTCGGCATGGAGCAAAAGGGAACACTAAATAAACTAAACTGAACCAAGCAGAGCAGCAGGACTCGGCGCGACGGAGCTGTTCACAGCGCGAAGTCCATCAGACGACTGAAGTTGAACCTCCCGGCATAGCTCAAGGGATTGTCCGCGACGGGCAGTTCTCATCTCTTGCGCATGTGTTGGGCCTACTGATAAAGCAGCCACTTCGCAGCACATGGCCGGTCGGCCCCGGCGGCGCGCCGCACTGCGCGTGCGCGTAGCTCCGATGACGCAACAGCAAAAGGACGACGACGCTCTCCACTTCCCGCTCAATTCTTGCGGCCATGCGCTCTGACTCGTTCCCATCCCGCCATTGGCGATACAAACCGTGCAAGCCGTGCTTTTCTCGAAAAGAGGAGAGAACCCGAAAAAAACAAACAAAAAAAACAGACGCAAACCCTCGATTTCAGAGCATTAAAAATGTGGAGAGAGAGCGGCCTGGGATTATCTTTATTCCATTAAACAATACCTTATAAATAATATATGTAATAACTAGTCATAATTGATATTTAAATATATAAATAAATCCAAAAATAATATATTGTACGTTAGTTGTAGTTATGCGATGTTTGCCTTTTACTGTGCACACATTGTTTCACATTGTTGTTTCACACTGCAATTTTCGTTCTTTGATTAGTATTAAAATATATTTATGTATTCAATTTTTTTCTTTAACTCGCCACATTGGAATACCAGGAATTTTATCTAATATTCTACAGATTCACATTTATATTTTTAATCTTTTGTGATAAAATATCTATATTTTAACTGTGGTAAAAAATAACGGTTAATTTAAAGTACAATTCATTAGTGTAGATCAGTATTAGTTCCAAATGAAATATATTTTAAAATATAATATTCTATTCAAATTATTTTAAAGTAAGATACACTACAATCATTATATCTCTTCAATTAGAAAGAAATTGTTTGAGAATGTGAAGGATATGGGATGTAACCAATGGATTGATTAGAGTTTAGGTTTCCTTGTTAACAAATATACAATTGTAATTTCAATATGAATCCTGAATAATTTTTATTTTCCGTCGTAATTACTTAATCCTGAATATTCAAAGTCACATTGCACTTCTACAATTGCCATTTTAAATATATAAATATCTCCTGAAAGGGGTTAATTTTTAAGGTTTACTTAATGCACACCCAATATAACTTCCATGGAAACGATGTTAAATAAAAAGATAGTATGGTATAATTATTTCTAACATGCAAACCTTAATATCACAAAAGTATTGAAAGTTCAAAATTTCGAGATATAGTAGCAAAAAAATGAAATAAAAAATGTCCATTCGAGTAATTGCAAATAAAACTTAATTTTATGGAAATTTCATTTTATGTATTTTTTATATATTTACAATGATTTTGATATCAAATCATCAACCAAAGATAAGTTTACAACAATTATTCAAACAAATTGCAGATTAAATTCAATTATGGTGCTTAATGTGAACTCAGTCGGAAATTCATCGTAAATGCGAAAAAAAGTATTAAAGAATGAAAATTTCAAAACATCTTGATTCTATTCGGCAAGTTAAATATAATATTAATAATTTTTGAAACGCCATTTTAATAAACATTACTAGATCCGTATAATAGATGAAAATATATTAACTCGAATAATATACTCAAAATCAAATATTAATGATTATTAATTTTTAAGATATGCATTCAAAACGAAAAGTAATTATCATTTCATAAAATACATTTTTGAGATGTTCTTTGGCTCTGCTAAAAAATCCACATAGTTTTTAGTTAGATTTTTCTCAACCGAGTAAATGAAACTATGACTGATTCAATTTTTTTAGGAGAAACTTTTACTTCTCCAAGATTTATTTCCTTTTTATTTATTTCCGTGCAAAAATAAACAACCTTTGCTATTTAGAATGGTTGTTATACAAAGTTTTTTTACGTTACATTACATGTTATTTTGCCCATTAAACTTTTTCACTACGTAATTTCAAAGAAGTAATGACATTATGCAACATTATGGTTTAACGATGTTTAATGCTGTTACAAAATCTCCGCTTGCAAGATATATTACAAAAATTGGTGGAGGAAATAATATATGTGGCTGTACTTTTCTTCCGTAAGGACTTTGTTTCAATTTTTTCTGCAAAATTATTTTGATTCCCTATTACCCTAGGATGTTTAAATGCTCTCAAACTTACTAAGGCAAGTGTAATAGTTATAGAAGACTTGCTTTTCAATCTTGCAATCAATGTATTTTAATTTCTATCTAGATATCCTGCAGGGCCTGTTTTGTCTGATGAGTTATGAACAATAATGCAAGATGGTAAAAATCTGTTTTATTGCCCTCGTTCTTAAAAATACGTTTTAATGTATTGGCAATAGGTCATTTACGTGAAAAATAATTTATTAGAAAATAATTCGGTTATGCCAACATTTTGAGGTTTATTTCAACTCCATCAGCGTTACACAATTTGATGTTATTTATTTTGTCAAAAAACAGTAAAAACTGTATGACGTAGGGGGAAGAAGTACAATCACCGCACGGTTTCTTGAGCTTTGGAATCTTATCCCCTCCATATAACCATAGTTGAATGATGAATAAAAGCACCAAAAAACGAGGTTAGAAACATTTGAAAATATATATTTTCGCTTCCAAGTTATAGAAAACTTATTTGCATTGGTAAGCAATCTAGAGACATGAGTTTTTGATATTCCTAAGAAATAGTAACCTATATTGCCGGCTCTACTCCTACCACAACTAACAAAAGGATATACAATAGTATCATATATTTGAAAATTTCAATCTATATACAACACATAACACGCAAAGAAGCACAATACAAACACAATAATTGTGCAAGTTAACATTAACTCACATCAATACAATGTAACATTCATCTGCTTCAGAAATATATGTATTACGAGACCAAAACAACTAAACAGATAGATCTACTTATCTGGGATAAAGTGCAACCTCTTCAGAAAATGTATCTCTACTCTCTATTGTAACAGATCAGTTTGATTTGATTCTATTGATATTATCAATGAACAGTAGAAGTTTCATAGATAAATTTTCGACCAAAATGAATGTCGATTTATTGAAGGTAATGTGGCGGACAAAAAGATAGTTACCGTTGAAAAAGAATTTCATCATAAACTTGGTTTCTTTTCCACAATAACTAGTTCTGGGAGGCACACAGGCCACAAAATTAGTAGTGTTCTGTTGAAAAAAACCTTTGAAATGTTATTGAGTAGAACAAGAATAGAAGTCACAGCTAATTTGATCCAAATAATGGACCAATCTTTTCTTTTTAATTCTATTTAATATCTGCTTTTACTTGCTAACGCCTTCACTTAATATTGTAAATTAGTAATTGTTTCAAAACTCTTACCAAGTACAAAAACTGTAAAGAATACTTATAAATGATGCAAACGGCTTCAGTAAAAAGGCGAGTCATGATTAAAATTGCAAAAGAATTGTATGTTTCTGGAAACCGAATTCATAAGATTCAACCGATCTCCTTTGATTTTACTTTTTGTTATATTTATTTCGTTTAATGTATCCAATATACATTTTGGTAAATATTATATGAGCTAATTTCCAAAAGCCATAATCATAAGCGTTACATTAGACCGGAAGTGTTATGTATGATCATTTTTGAGCTCCCAAAGGGAGTTACAACTTGCGATTATCTGCAATTTTATTGTAACATCTGAACCTACTATCTCTAAGACAGATAATCGTATACTCACATGTATAGGTAACTTGGATAATTTTGTATTATAGTGATTTCATTGCAGTTTCCTTACCTTGATTTCTGAGAATCTTTCAATACATATTGAATGCAGAAATAAGAAAAGAAAGAAGGTGAATGTATGTGTCGTATGACTTTGTGGTCACCACTTACACACCACATCATCTAAACTGATTTGACTTGAAGATTCCTACGCCAACCTCGATCGAGCCTTCAGTTCTTTGAAATAAGCAATTGAGTCCCATTGTTCCAAAACGCGGTAAACCCCGAAAAATCACTAATTTGATTAAGTAAACTTCTGTACTCCATAATCAATAAACAATTTCTGGAACAAATATGTTTGGAAAACCCCCTTCCAGGTAATTTAATAGGAAATAACTGTCGATGTTTCAAAATCGGTCGTATACTTCGAAAGTGGTTTCCAAAACTTGCCTACTCCATACCTTTTCGAAATGGATTTTCGCCCATACTAGTTGCAGCTAATTCTGTAAATGTAGTTAATAAACAAGTCTCATACACCAACATTGCATTCAATATTTTGGATACATAATATTCATTGTAAAAATTATTAGTTGACGGGTAAACAATTGTGTATATTGTCTGCACTGTATATATTATTTGTAAAGGCAACATCATTAAAGAAGCACAATGAAATGATGATAACAACCTCCCAGCAAGTCATTTCGTCATTAGATGAAAAAATCAGACCGAATCATCAAATATTTTCATATCAAGTCTTGCCAAAACCATTGTTGCTACATATATTAATATTTCAACGTATGAGTTAGATCAGGCATCCCAGTGTCAAGAAACCATGCATATATTACACTTCTCCCCATTGTACGTCTCATCGTTTTTATCTGTTTTTGACGGTAAAACAAAAACAAATGAACGAATCAGACGTTGACCTTATAGGTGAACCCGACGTAATCAATTCATTGGGTTTTCAGAACATTTCAAAATTGTATCATTACGAGACTGTTTGATTTTTTTGTAAGCTTCCAATTTTGACATAGATTAGTTTTGGAGCTGGGGGCCTGTTGAAAATGTGCATCATACTTTTACGATAGTAAAATATATAACCCTATGGACAGCAAAGAAGTAAATTGAGTTTTGATAAATACTTCTTTCACTTCCTCTTATATTTGACTAAACTATCATTTAATTTTATTTTCGGAATTTCTTTTACAAAAATGTAAAACAACAATGAAAAACATTTTATTACAACACAAAATATAATAACAAAATGATCAAAATCGAGAACTGCCTCCTCCCTTCATTCGTGATCAGCTACGTTGCTGATGTCGATTAGCATTATGCTGCATTATTGTGGAGCTTACGTAGATGTTTCATACATGCGTAATTTACGTCACACAGTTGTTTACTCAC